TCACAATACGTCAACACTGAACTGACAAGTGGTATGTCACAATACGTCAACACTGTACTGACAAGTGGTATGTCACAATACGTCAACACTGTACAGACATGTGGTATGTCACAAAACGTCATTACTGAACTGACAAGCGGTATGTCACAATACGTCAACACTGTACTGACAAGTGGTATGTCAGAATACGTCAACACTGTACAGACATGTGGTATGTAACAAAACGTCATTACTGAACTGACAAGCGGTATGTCACAATACGTCAACACTGAACTGACAAGTGGTATGTCACAATACGTCAACACTGTACAGACATGTGGTATGTCCACAATACGTCAACACTGAACTGACAAGTGGTATGTCCACAATACGCCAACACTGAACAGACAAGTGATATGTCCACAATACGTCAACACTGAACAGACAAGGGATATGTCCACAATACGTCAACACTGAACAGACAAGTGATATGTCCACAATACGTCAACACTGAACAGACAAGGGATATGTCCACAATACGTCAACACTGAACAGACAAGGGATATGTCCACAATACGTCAACACTGAACAGACAAGGGATATGTCCACAATACGTCAACACTGAACAGACAAGGGATATGTCCACAATACGTCAACACTGAACAGACAAGTGATATGTCCACAATACGTCAACACTGAACAGACAAGGGATATGTCCACAATACGTCAACACTGAACAGACAAGTGGTATGATAACAATACGTCAACACTGAACTGACAAGTGGAATGTCCACAATACGTCAACACTGAACAGACAAGTGGTATGATAACAATACGTCAACACTGAACTGACAAGTGGTATGTCCACAATACGTCAACACTGAACAGACAAGTGATATGTCCACAATACGTCAACACTGAACAGACAAGTGGTATGTCCTCAAACTGTCATATCCTTTTCATTAAAAAAGGAGGATATATTGAGTGTAAGTGGTCGTCATAGTTGATATGAAGTAATATGTATATACTGTCATATGTGTATCATGTCCCTGTGTTCAAGATACCCGGATTAGAGAAACTCCACGAACTGTGCTAGCGCTTTAGCTACTTCTGGATTCATCAGTTCCCAATCATTGATATTGTTATTGGTTATTTTAAAATGACTGAATCAGTCCAGAGATTTTTAAGCTTATTTACCTATTTTAGAATATTGTATTTTCCTCGAAACCCTTTCATTATGATAATTGATATTTATAGCAATCTTATATATGTAAGATCTATAGTAGGCTTTCTTACATAGGACAGCCATTTTCCAGTTCTGGTTTTCTGTAATCCAATGCCGCCATCATACTGATGTACCATCAAAGACTTCAGTTCTCTAGGTCAAATGATTACCACCTGAATTTTATTGGATCTTTCGCGCGTTTGTCAGCAACGACGACAGAACAAAACTTTCGGGAACCAGATCATAAAATATCCAACTTTGTTCCCATTTGCGTTCAGCTCTAAAATCTACGAAATACTTGTATTCTGTACATCGGAATCAAAGATAGGATGGCAGCTGTGTATACGTTAGTAAAGAACAAACAAGTACATAGACATGTACATGTGCTATAACTAGCTATATGTAATAAATGGCATACAGGGACGAGGTGTTCATGACACTGTTCGCGAAGCTCCACTGGCATAACAAATCAGTCATTGATAGGTAAAAGCGCAAAGCTTATGTACTGTCTGCAACACACTGGTCATGTTGAAGCGCAAATATATAATTCAAGGTAAAATGTCTCTAAAAGCGAAGCAGTGTTCACACCTTACCAGAGCAACCTGATCGTGTTGAAGCGCGAGTGATATAAGTAAGGCCTCTGATAGTCAAGAAACATCCAGACCCTGCTAGAACACCCTGCTCATGTAAAACCCCAATCATATAGGTAAAAGACCTCCGAGAGTGAATACGCATCGAGACCTTACTGGAGTAAATTGGTGATGTTGGAGCGCCAATGATATAGTTAAAGGCCTCTGATAGTGAAGAGGTGTCCTGACCTTGCCAGATCACACTGGTTGTTTTGAAACGCAAACGAAGCGTCCATATCCTAAATTGATGCAATCTGCGATGGTATCTTTAAGTGTTTGACTTAACAACCAACCATAGCAGCCGATGCCAAAACATTACACTTGAAATTAGAACATATTGAGAAATCTGTGAGACCAGTAAATAAATCGACACCCACGGAGATTGTGTAACGGCATATTCACGCACGTAAACTTAAAGAACATTTTGAAATATTGTGTTTCAATATAAAAAACATTATTGACATTTCAATGAAAATTTGGTACACAAGACATAATCAAGTCATCAGCCGCTTCATAAAACTTAACATACAGCGGTTGTTGAATTTAAATGAAATTCGTTTTAATTTTGAATATTCAAGGATATGATTGAAACAGGGTTTTGAGCTTTCCTGAACTTCAAAACATGCTGTTGCTATTTCATATTGACGAGTCTATAATTGATCGTTAGTATAACCAACAGTCACGCGACTATCCGTGTGACTTTATAGAATTATGCCTACCACGACCGGCATCTGACTTGATATCATGTTTGGGAATAACACGGGGTTCGTCATGCGCGCTGTGATTGACAGCTTATGTAGTACTTACTGTATACACGTGCGGCTCAATGTATCTATCCATTTGTTCACAGTACAACCTTGCTGGCATGGCCGATACGAGCTCCTTGAGGAGTGTATCGAACGGCACATCCGGTACATCAGATGTATCCGAAAGTAAGGAAAATATCGTCTTAAACACGGTAAGTACTTATGTATGAGATATGGTTTCTTGTCTTTGTTTTTAAAAGGAAATTTTGAGGTTATCCTGGCAGTATATCGCTGATTGAAAATGACGTAAATACATGTATCATAGATACATACATGCTGTAAGATCTGATATTGTCACACGGTATCAGTATTATTTCATTCATATGGCATCAGCTGTAATCGACACTATTCGGATTATTATAGAATTACAAATGGCTCGGACTTGTCTGTAAAGGTGCATGTGTTGCTCTGTGTTTGGTTTTATTAGAAAATCAGTAAACAATGTATTTTTCATAGACATTTTACACTTTACAATACAAAGACATCGTATGGACAGCAGTACTAGTGTCTTGATTAATTTGCTTTCTAAATATTTGATCTTGTGAAGGAAAAGGTATATCTAAATAATTGCCACAACATGTACGTCTTTTCCGTTATTATGTTAATAGTAACATATCTTTAATCAAAATTCATCAAAAACAATTTTAGTGGAACAGATGATATGTTTATCATTCACTATACATCTTACTTGGGTAAATCTTCGATATCGTGTTTCAAACGACTTCCTCGCAGAAGCTATCATATAATTTGTTAAACACTCACGGGGATTGAAAGTGTAATACAATACGTATATATCCCTGCTTCTTTAAATTGTTATCGGATTATATTTGAGAGATACTTGAATTAAAGATATATTCTCCTGTAAGATTTACACCGACCTTTGACCTCGACAAAATGAAGAGATTAACAGCCGAGAATTAACTCCATTTTCCACTCGATAAGTTATCCTCGATTTGGAAACGTTTGTCTTTCAAAATGTTCCCTAATTCTATATTTTGTATGTTTCCAGTTTAAAGGCAGGATAGAAGATATCATCAAACCGGACCATGACGATTATTACCTGCGCAAATGGCTGAAAGGTAAAGCCATAGCGTAGGCAACCCTGTATCTCCATTGGTTACGATCTCGTTATTTATATCATTGAATATGTCATGACACTATCGAAGGCTTACTGTTAGTCATTTGCTTGTTTCCAGACATAAAAAACTGACCGATCGCTAGGTTGATACCTTATCTTTGACGGTTACAGAGGAACTACACCCAAACAAGGCCGGCCAGTTTAACCGCGATATACTGTCACGTAGTTCCTTTAAGTTTGTATCATAGATATCACAGGCATGCAGGATTCCACACGTTTTGCAGGGTTGCGTGTACAGACCCGTCTTTTTTGCAATGACATCGCACAAGGGTGTTGTTGACATATGTTACAGAGAGAGACGAACCCTTGGTTTTAGAAGATACTTAACAATATATTTGTAGCTTATCGTTGGTTTCTGATGTTTTCTTGTTTTCAATTACCCATTGGTTTCTGATGCTGTCTTTTACTGTTGGTAGTTAGTCCTGGTTTCGTTCCTGAAGCAATGCATTTTGTTTTTCTTGAACTTGTATTACTTGCCTACCCTTGCTGTCCCCTTTCTATATACTTCTTTCCAGTAGCACCCATCCTCGTATGACCCCGGCTGTTGCGAGGACGTTAAAATCAAAACAATTGTTTTTTTTCATTACACTCGTTACGTTTGTGTAACACATATGTAATATCTATGCTTGGTGTGACGGCGTGCTGCTCGTGGTGAAATAAGTATGTTAGTATGATTGACAACATTTTACTCCACAAAGCCACCTTACTGCCTACATGAACCAGATCACGCAAAAACGTAAACCTAACGGAACGCCTGTACTCATGTACTGAGTACTATATTAATTAAATATTGTATAAATGTGCTGTTACTTTCTTTTACAGAACCACGTTATATGAATCTGTGCACCGTATATAATTATATAGTATGTCAAGTACTTTATAGAAAGTGCTTCCCCGTTGGGATCAAGGCGACATTAGAATTAATGAAATCATTGCGTGGCATAATAGAACCCTAAGATGGTCTACAGCACTAAATGGTTGTATCGTGTTGATGTACCGTTAAATCATAAACATACACATTAAAGATAGTGCGTCTTTTTTGTTAATGCCTAACATTTGGTATCTTAAAAATTAAGATATTTTTTTATATTTTATTTCTTGTAAATTATTAAATGTGTAAGACTTAATTTCAATTTTATTTATTCTATTTCGTCTAAATTTTGACAAACTTTATATTTGACAGCTCGCTGTTTCGATGTCGACAAGGCAGAAGCAATGTACAGGACGGTAAGTGGTGATTTATACTTTATGTCAAAACTACATTTGTGCTTGTGTCGAATCTACTTTTCCCAACCAAACGTCTATGAATTGTTCATAACTGTTTACAAAAGATACGACATATTAAAAATGTATTGGTAGGAATACGGATAGTGTTAACATCAATAAGAGTATATGTGGTAACGGCTTTTGGTTGATAATTTCATATTGCCATGTAGTTCAAGTCTCCCTGAATCACGAAAAGGTGTGACGTTAATTAGTACGTGCTTGACATTAATCACCTGACTGAGAGACGTGCTGGCGTGACTGGTAATCCTCCGTGTATCAGCACTACTCTTAATTACAAAATTACTTTCAATGGATATCCGGATTTTTGAAATAATGTTATTAGGCGATCCACCGATCAACACCGCGATCCAGAACATATCTGTACAATTCATTCATACGTATTCCACCAAGTCCTGAATACGTATCCAATCTAATCCTATTGGTGGAAATAGCTTTCATTCTTCTCCCTTCTTGGGTCTGGACTTGGTCCGCCCAAGATAGCTTTCATTGATTCACCAGTATGTGGACTGCTGTAATTTGCTGATGGACTTCATCCTTGACCATTCCTGATAACGGAACATAAGTCGTCCCTTGAAGTCCATTTAGCAGAATAGACTGAACAACCAGAAACTCTCTCATTTAAGAACTTTTATTATCTGAGACATGATTTGCGTACGTTGGGTTTAGGAGATGTGTGATTGGTGCAGTATGCACCAAATAAGAACTAATCTTTAGGTTATATGCACAGTGTATCCAAAACAACTTATTTATGAAATGAGGATTGAGACCTTTTCAAAATGTATATTGTACAACCCAGTGGTTGACAGCTTTGATATACAATTGTATTTTACAAAACCGTCATTTAGAAAATATCATTGATCTTGCGAACAGATGGCAAGCAGATACTATGCCTGCTTCGAAAACTACATACTATGTACTGTGTGTGCCATTAGGGATGTCCAGAATAAGTTTCATTTTATTCTCATTTGTATTTTTAGAATTAAAAGTATTTTATATCAAGCCAAATTTTCGTATTTGTCATTATGTGATAGAGGTACGTTCTAGGAAAAAAATATACAAAAAAAGGTCATTACAAATTTAAGCAAAAACTGCATTCATGCAACTGTTAAAATGAACCGCCGTTAGGAATGTATGGACGATATATTCTGCCTTTCTTGAGACACCTGTTGTTGTAGTATGAGATTTGTGTGTCTCATATTTAACAGTTTTAACGAGTGTATTATCTCACCTTCAGTATGTACATGTTCTATGGTAACCGCCTACCTAAGATTTTAGATTATGTGATTGTATTGTATTGTTTTTGAATAATTTAATAAACAACTTTATACTGCTCTATTAGAGTCCGTTAAATGTTTCCTTCGCAGAAAATCTTACCTTTTCACCTCTTGATTTTTCATAACATTATCAACTGTTCTGTATCTAACGAAAATGGAATTGAATCAACCTCATATGTTCGCCGCCATCGTACAGATATTTTAAAGGAATGTGCTGTATGTATAACTGTTATTAAGGTACAATCACTAGGCTCGTCCATATTTCGTAACGAATTCACAAAATGGTTCAACCGTTATGAACGCGTTAAACGAAAATACGTTTTTCAGAAATAACCTACTCTTTTTTTGTAAGCGTGTTTATTGTAAAATAACATACCTGTTTTTGTTATATTGAGTAAATATATCATTTATCGATTAATTACAAGCATTGGCTATTTATACTAATGAACTGCTGCTAATGCTTTGTCCAAACAGCAAATTTCATACCAAATATATGAACCCGCATAACTCGAATACTCGGATAACTCGAAGTTTTTCTACGACCCCGTCGACTTTGAGATAACGAGGTTCGACTATATATGCAATGTGCATTTGCTCATAAACTAACAATTTAAGTCCATCGTTGAATTGAAGTTTTTGGAGAGAACCATCTAGTTTATATGCTGAAATATTGACTAATGTCTCAATCAGGTTAAAGAAATGATGAACTTTGATAATATTTTGTTCTTTTGTATAAACCCCGTGGTATATTTTGGCACCATGATCTATCACTTTCAGAGTATGGCGTTCCGGGATAGGATGAATGTTGACCGTATTCTACAGGACTACGATCCACCTCTTGTAAGTCAAACCCTTCATTAGTAGCTTTGAACAACTCATATTTTATGATAAAATATCTGTGTAAAATCCTTCCACATACATTATATGAATGTTGCTACCTTCTCTCTCACTTATAAATATTGCGTTCTAGAAACTGTCAAAATTCCTTTTTTTTTCACTGAAAACATTGAATACCTTCTAGGACATGTCCATTCTAGGCCATGGTTTAACCCCTTTATTCTTACTCACGTGTAAGAACATTGACTTATATGACCTGCCCTAATCCCTTTCCTGTCACCGCTAAACCATAGACAAGATCTACTTTCATTTTAGTTTTATTACCATAATGATTGAGAAAAAAAGTGTAAATATACCATAAACAATAGATGTTTTTATTGGATAATAACCTAGAAATCTCAAATTTATCTTTTTACTGTAGCTTTTTTTTTATGTAAGCAATGATTCGGTTAACAGTGGAAGGCCAATCTGATATTCATAATGGATCAATGGTATTGTGTGAGAGAAATTTGTATCACGTTGATCTGTATGTGGAGTGTTGTAATCTTCAAACTAAATAGATAATATGAAAATGTCTAAATTCTCACTGTCGTAACATCCAAGTCATGTTTATAATCCTAATGATTGAGTAGAACACAAAGCAATGCCTGGGCTGAACAGACGTACAGTTTCGTGTAATCAAAGTATTAAAATACCAGATTAATCTTGAACCTTTGTTAAAATATGTTGATGTTTAATCATTTATTCTACCCTGAGATCTGTATGTTGCTAGCTTAGGAAATATTGTAAAACATGGACTGATCACTGTGTATAACATGGACTGATCACTGTGTATAACATGGACTGATCACTGTGTACAACATGGACTAATCACTCTGTATAACATGCACTGATCACTGTGTATAACATGGACTGATCACTGTGTATAACATGGACTGATCACTGTGTATAACATGCACTGATCACTGTGTATAACATGCACTGATCACTGT